AATAATTTTTTTCGGTATAAAAATAGTTCACACAGTCACTATAAAACAGGTGTTCGAAAGTAATAATTTACCTCCAGGACCCGCTAACAAGAACTGATCTTATCAAATGGTCTAACATATTAATACGTTACATGCGTAATAATTAAACAATCAGTATTACTTTCTAATTAATTATATTTTGTGATTAAACATCACTGTTAGGCCTATTATATTCTTAAACAATACACTATATATCTAGACTCGGGCTGGGCATTTTCAACAATTACAATACTTCTAATTCTTGAAAATGCTTAGGAAAATTCGCCAGCCTCTAAAAGGCGTTTACACCATAACAAGTATTATTATTTTTAACAAAAAAAGTAACCAGTACAGTTGTACGTTGAACGATACAGCAATTAATATCACATTTCTTACGTAAACAAATGAAAACACCGAAATAAAAAACTTTGCCAGTGAAAATGAACGAACTTTTTTGTCTCCAGAATATGTTTACTGATTTATCGGAATTTACCGATAATTTTTTTTGCGTGGGTATTTAACGTTAAAATTACTTTTAAAACCTTTATTATCGAAGGACAAAACATCAGATAGAATAAATTGCTTTGCTTGAAATTTTTCTAAAAAGGATAGGCATATTAACCACGAATACTAGAAAATGTCACTGTGTTTAAAGTGCTTAATACAGGGTGTCCAAAAAATCGGGAAACATGGGCATTTCAACGAATCTCACAGACTGTGTTCCACATGCTGCCCGTTTAATTCGAAACAAGTTTGGTTTGGATTAACAGCAAGATTAACTCGACCTTCTCACGCTTTGACAGCGCCATAATCAGTCACGTATCTGAAATCAAGAAAAGCTATGATTCCAGACCTTTCAGACACCCTGTAGAAACGATTGAACACGAATCAGTGGACTCGATCGCATACGTCCCAAATCAACCACCATTTAATGAAGTGTCAAATCCAAACGTATTTAGGAATACACCAACGCATATTATAAATATATATATATAACTTTCCAACGCGAGATCAATATAACCTTTGCTATACATGCATTTACAACAGCCTATACCGTTAGTTTTTCTTTTTCTTTTTTTCTGCTGTGACAATTAATTGAAAGTTTGCATCATTAAAAATAATTCCTCTTACTTTCGAATATTCTAAGTATTAATATACGAATAGTTCAACTGTTTTCCTTTAATATGCTACTTTTGTAACTGGTCATTAAACTGAAAACCATTCAACGTTATTGAACGAATAAAACATGCAAAATATTTCTGTTACCTTTAATATCCATAGTTGCGCGCATAACAGTATCACATCCGCAGGTCGAGCACTTGAATATCAACTGCATATAAACTTCGAAGTGTTGAGTATGAGCAAAAATGAGATTCAAGAAATTCGGTAGATGTTCGATGTGCAACTAACTTGTTTTAAAACATAAAATACCAACCCTTATCAGAAAATGAAGCAAAGCATCTAGAAAGCTTCAATGTATACAAAACACATATAGTTTTTGAATCGAAGCTATTCTTGAATGTTAAAAATGGGAAAATAAACTTCATGCTCTTCAAGTACAGACACACATTCAAATTTCTTAACCAGTTATTTAAGACGAAAATGGTTATATTCATGTGTAACATACGAGGAATCTTGCCAGCTTACAGTTCAACGAAACTTGACCGGTAAACCGAGGTGTTGGTTTCCCCGTCAGCACAAACGTTATACAGAGGGTTGAGTATGTTATATTAAAACGATTTAGAGTAAGCAAATCAACAAGTCACGTGACAAACACAACAGATATAAAGTATTGGTGAAACGGAATGCATTATAAAAATATTTTGACAGTAGAGTTTCGTAGGTGACGTCACTGAAAGGATGTGTAGCAGCCTTTCCCGACGCAAAATATTCATACACTCAGCTCATAAAAATGTGCTCAAGTCGTAAGATTTTTCAAGATGGGGATATAACTTTTACTTAATGAAACTGGTAAACAAAGGAATGTGAATCAACTTGGTGCACCAGAGCCATCCAGAAAGAGACTGGCATCAAGCAGTACCCCAATCCACGAACACAAAGGACAGTGGCAAAAACCGTTTACGTGCAACAGCCACCAGTATGCAACATTATCAATATGTATCTCCATTTGGAAAAGCGGCAAAAGTTGTGGCTGGAGAATTAAATGGATATCATACTGTTTTATATGAAGATATACCGATCTATTTGCCGGAAACAGCTCCTGTGGATTTCTGTGCAATTAGACAGTTGAAGCAGGCGCTGGGAAACCGCCATCCTCGTACTCTAGATGGATTATGGAAAGCCTCAAGAACATTCTTTAAAAATGTCAATGCCTTTTGCAACAGAAACTACGTTACGGGGCTATAGTTAATTGAATGCAAGGTCGACTAGTACCGCATGACCGGACGTGTCCAAATGAATTATAACATGTTTAGGCTCCAAAATAGTTTTAACATAACGTACTAAGCCTCTGTATGTACGGTATAGGTTCATCCTTCAATACACTTGTTTTCTACTTCTTCACCTAGATCTATTCTAGGCTTAACACTTGAATTATCGATAGGATGCATAGCAGTTTTTTTACATACAATTTCTGGATTGTTTATGCAGTACAATACTTGTGAGTCCATGACTTTGCTGATTACAGGGTCGTAATAACATAGTACTCACAAAAACAAATGTAAACAAAAATATTATCAACATTGCAATTAATCGCTAATTTATTAAAAATTATATGAAATAAAATTAGTTTGAATTTCGCGCAAAGCCACACGAGGGCTATCTGCGCTAGCTGTTCCTATTTTAACAGTGAAAGACTAGAGATAAGATAGCTATTCATCACCACACGCTGCCAACTCTTGGGCTACTTTTTTACCAACGAATACTAGGATTGACCGTCACATTATAACGCCCCCACGGGTTGACGATGGGGTTAAGCCTTGAGTAACTTTGTGGGAATACCTAAAACATGCAAACAAACCACTGTAGTTATTCTAATTCTGTCAGCCTTTGGGCAACAATTACGCAGAGTTAACAACAAAATATTTATTTTGAATTTCACGAAAAGCTACACGAAGGCTACCTGCCCTAACTATCCATAATTTAGCAGTGATAAACTAGAGGAAAGGCACCCACCGCTAACTCTTTGGGCTATTCCTTTACCAACGAATAGTGGGATAGACCGTCACGTTATAACGCCCCTACGGCTGAAAGGGCTAGCATGTTTAGTGGGACAGGGATTCGAATCCGCGATCCCCAGATTGCGAGTCAAGCGCCCTAACCACCAGGCCATGCCGGGCCTGAAATAACATAAAAATTACAAAATACACCACACCTTACCTAAAGTCTTCTACATGTTTTGGTTGGTCACGGACTCGCCATAATCACCAACTTGCATAATGCAAAACGTTAACCTAAGATTTAGCATAAATGGTGCTGCCACCTACTTATCTTTTTTCTCTTAAATTATATTTATACTTAAAGTCTGTTTATACTTAATGAAAATAAATCTCCAATAAAGAAACATAAAATTAACGAATCGGCTTTAGGTGAACTTAAGGTGAATAACCTTCTTCCACAAATCCCAGTGTTAATTGGAACAATGTTAAGTTAATTAAATATTCTAAAAATAAATATGATCCAAATATAAACGAATCATTAGAAACATTTAATAATTCGAAGTTAATTCCAAATAGAGATTCTGGTGCAGGAGTTTTAGAAATATGTTTTTGAAAATCTATTTTAAAGAGAAAAAAAAAGGAAATAGCTGGCAACGCCATTTATGCTAATTGTTAGGTCAGAGTTTTGCATTATGAAATATGGTAAAGGTAAATAAATATATTGGAAAAATATTTCACTGCTGTTTTCTTCCTGATGATAGTGGGTCTGTGATCCATCGAACCATATAAACACATTTAGGTAAGGCCTGGTGCCTTGAATGTAATTTTAAAGGTTGTCTCACCTAGTTTTTAATAAGTATTTTAAACAAGGCCGTTTCCGGGTTGAGTTTGTTTGTTATACAGCAAAACCACAGTGGGCTACCTGTTGTGTCCACCGCGTGAGTCGAACCCCTGATTTTAGTTGTAAGTCAGTAAACTTACCGCTGTCCCACTAATAACTGATAAGGTGCTCTATGTACTTTACATAAGAACTGAAGAATTTAACCCTATTTTTTAAATCAGTTTTTTACGCTGTTGTAAAAAGCAAAAACTTAAATCATTGAAAATGATGCAATATCTGGACCCCAAAGGTACAAAAATATTTGATAATTTGAGGATTAAGTAGGTTTTGCTAAAGCAACAGTCTGCTTTAGTGACTGCTTGGTTCTCATTAGTGTAACTAACGTATACATATAGTCCACAAATAGATATAGAACCTTGACCGATATACAGAACGATGGGATACAACGAACGTTCAATTTGTCAGCAAAAAATACCTATGTTCACTTTAATCTAAGCTGGGTATAAACGTCTATTAACAGAAATACGAGGTTGTTTTTTCACACTTAGATCCATCCATCAAACTTTTATATCTGAAAAATACGAAAGGAAAAGAATGGCCATCAGAAACAGACCAAATCAATATTTATTATATACTTATACATAAAATTAAAGGCAACAATGGATCTATTGATCCATCTAGGCCGTTCTGTCCACTAAACTTTAAAATAAAACACTCAAAACCAACCCTTATCATTTAAACATTTATCAAGCCTTCCCTTAAACTCCCCTGAATTAATTGTATCCACCACATCTGAAGGCAAACCCTTCCAAATGCCAACCATCCTGTAATGAAAATACGAATGTCTTAGATTAAAATGACTCCTACCCTACCAACATTTATATTTGTGTTATCTATGTTCCCTAGTCCTACCATTTTGACCATTAGGTAAAAAAAAACATGATGCATCAACACTGTCAGTACCCTCAATCAGATCCCTTCTAACTCTTCTTTTTTCGAGATAAAATTTCAGATATATTCACCTGTCCTCGCATGACAATCCTTTCATCCCAGGTATCATCCTTGTTGTCCTCTGAACCATTCCAAACAATTCAATGTTCTTCCTAAAGAAAGGTATCCAAGAATACGCCAAATGTGGCCTAACCGATGATCTATACAATAAAATTACAGCCTTTTTAGACTTATTTTCAGTATGAAATTTGTGAGTCTTCTGAATTTGTAACGAATTGTATCACTCTTACGTTAGAAACACATAGCTTTCTAATTACCAAAAAAGCCACTAAATGAACATATTCAGCTGCTGCGAAGAAAGGAGATTAATCTTCTTTTTTTATTTCCTTCGGAAATACCTATTTATATGAGGTCACTCTTCAAATTTGGCTCCCACAACATGTAAAAAACTGCTTGCGCTGCCCTTAAATCATAGTATCGATGTGGAAATGAGATTCTGATTTTAATGGAAACCAATGTAATCACCAGAGTTAAAAACAGAAAAAATAGATCTCCCAAGATGTCCTTTAAGATGTAATGTACATACGTTGGAATGTAGCCTCACAAGTCGAAGGGAGAGTCGATTTGAACGCAAACACACACACAGATGTAAGTTACTTCTTAAGTGGGTTAAGGGAGATGATTTTTTAAGATGTATAAAATCGCAGAAAAGGACAAAAAAAATCAACTCTGCATTTGAGCACACGCGCACTTTAAGTACACCCCTTCCATCAGTTATCAAGTATATAATTACATTCATACACTGAGTTCCCTGGTTCAGTACCACATGAGGAATGGACAAATTAAATAACCCAGTAAGCGACACGTTTGTCAAATGAGTTTGAGGTCTAAGGCGGATAGTTTACACGGTTTGCTAACTTTTAACGACTAAGATTGGACAAAACCCTAAACTGCACATAACGACCACTTCTCGTGGCTAGCGCTATACTTGAGAGGTTACTCTGAAATTGATTGCTATAATAATTTTTCCGAAGGAGGTGGACGATGTATGGGCGGTTGTCGAGGGAACGACGAGAAGGATACAAAAGAGCGCGTACTGTACATGTGGAAGATCGATATGTGTGGAGACGACAGCACTACCTCTGTAAGTGTGCATCCGTGTCTGCAGAACCAGGTTGAACTCGTTGCATTTTACTTTAAAAGTACCTATTTGATGTGCGCGCGCTATGAAGTGTGAAAAGGAAACATGTCTATTGACTGTGCACGTTCATTAAACATATATATATGTTTATATAACGTAAGCAAAAGATAGAAAATACTAACAAAACTTTAGTATTCTACTGGATAACCTACGTATTAGCAACAACAATAAATCTATGTAGGTTAAAAGTAATTTCTCTACTTACGATATAAACCAAAATTAACTCCTCTCACTGAAGCTTTCCACATTTATTTTTAAACACAGATTGGGTTACTGAATGTTGAAAAAAAAGCTTTTCTTTTCTTCCTTTGGTCTAATAGATGCAAGAACGTTTCCTCAATTTCGTGATGGTATTTTTTTTTTTTTTACCGTGTCAAAATGAAAGTAAATATGTTCTAATTGTGATACGATGTTTTACAGTGCAACAAAACAATTGGGGATAACCGGAATGTACAATATTACGGCTATGACAATGTAAAAACCATTTCTTAAACACTTCTTTCCATAGTAGAAGTGGAGCATTTTGGGTTTCGCACCTACATTTGTTTCTAAGTTTTAAGTTCTAATTTTGATTGTAGTTTCACTTTCCATATGAGGCTAGTGAACAGGGGTTACCTCTGATATATCCAAAGTAACCGCACTAGACTGTATATTTTATCATTTTAACGTTGTAATTTGTAACCTAGTTTTACTTCTCCTTTATGCGTGACGCTTTTGTTTTCAGCCTAATTGTCTGAAATATACAGTTAAATCCCGTTTCACAAAAACGCGTTCTTTCGCCATTGAAAAAAAAAAAGTCAACCATGTAACACATGGGCTAAAGTAAACTATCAGGTCAGAGATACCTTATTTAGAACTGACGATAAAAGGGAGGGCAACCCATCAGCAGCACCCGCCGTTTACAAGATAGTTGGAACAATATTCCACAGTCATACATCGACAAACTTATGACAGCAAAAAATCAGGGTGTACTAGTTTACTGGACAACCTATTCGCTTTTGTTTTGTATATTCTGTACTAATGTATTATACAAATGATAAACTAACTATTTAATTGCAATTACACATTATTCGTGACTACTCTAGCAAGTGTGCGTTTACATAATTATTTCCAATGTATGTATGTAAGCACGTATCTATCTGTGAAATAAAAGCATAACAGTAATTATGAAAGTAGTTCTTGTTCCAGAACGTTATGAAATAAATAAGTAGTCAACTTACTGATAGAAGATGTATCAACGAAATAAAGTGTCTTACAAGACCCACAATTATTGTTTTAATTTATTAAACATAAACCACTTAAATATCTCTACAGAAACTTTACTTGCTTAATGATATAAACAAAAATAGTTTACATTTAATCATCAAAATAAAAAAACTAAACTCATCACAACATGACAATGCTTTATGTTATGTGATGGTTGTTGTTTTTTTTAAAAAAGCCATCCTTATATTGAACAAAATACACACGTTTCATAGTTTTGAACGTCAGTGCAACATTAAATAAATCTTATCAAATAGTTTGATTATTACTGTTAAGATAATCTTACAGAAAAAGTGACGGAAGATAATGAGATTGACTGTCAAGGTAAACAACAACCTCAGAGTTGAAATAAAGCAGTGTGTTTGGCAGCAAATCGAGGCACCAACCTTGAACTTCCTGATAAGCAACCCATCACGCTAACTAGTGAGTAACGCCCCCTTCAGGTGTTTTCGGAAAATCCCCCCCCCCCATTTTATATTGTTGTATACTAAAAATTACCAGAGTTTTTAAACAAAACAAAATATGTAGATCGACTACGTAAGCATTTCAACTTCAGCTTTAATACCTATTCTTTAATGCAGTTTCCAAGTTATTTCGGTTTTATTTTTCAAGAGAAAGAAAATTGCACGAAAATAACTTACGAGAGAAACCTCTTTTGATAAACAGTTTTGTCAACTAGTGTATTAAATAGTAATTTTTTTCCAGATTGCACATTTCGAAGCTGACTATATTATATAAACACACACACACACACTTATATAATGAATTACATATACTTAGGATTAAATCATTTTTAATCATTAAATAATCAGAAATCATTTTACTCTTGAGAACTGCTCAAGCTATATCAAAGAGCAAATAATACAAACAACTAGAATTAAAAAAAAGTTAATAAATGTTCTTGATTGTAATACAAGTGCTCATTTCTGTGTACATGAATATTTTGAACAACGATCGTTAGATCGCAATGCTTAAATTAGTGCTGACATAATAGTAACAGATTTCTGTGAATTACGTGGTATAGAACTCTAGCATATTGTCTTATAATATTTAGTATACTGTACGCTTAAGTAGTCAAGATCTACTTGTAACTGGACAAGTGTACAGACAGGTCGTATAAACCTAAATTTCTCAGTGGCTGTAAAGAAAATTGGAGATTGTTTGACAATTTAAGCTGTTAATAAGTACGGATGAACGTGAGAGGAAAATATGATTAAAAGTTCTATTTCGTTTCCTGTGCCATTTTCAGCTTAGTGTAGTGCATCTAACCTTTGGACACATACAACGGAAAGTTGGGAAAGGATTTTATCTTGTTGACAAGCAATACTATTTTAGTTTAGTTCACCTGTGTATCATATGGTAATCTCAGGAAACGAGAAATCTGTAGAAAAATAAACCGAGTTTCCTTTTGAGAATCAAAAATGAAAGAAAATTTAAATATGCGACGATTCCAGTAACTTATAGTCACGAATTTAGGCCTAAGACCAAGCCTTCAATAAAACAGGTTTAAGATTGAATACTTCAAGTCCTGAAATTGAAGGCCTCACACTCATATTGGTTAACAGGTTACTCAAAGATATAACAAGAAACAGCTTCACACTATATTATTGTAATATAGGTTACTACATAAAGTAAGTTTGGAAGTCAAAAGAAACATCGTATTAACAGCGGCTTTTATTTACTACAGAAAACAATATTAATAACAATCATTTTCCATTAAAATATTTACTGTTTTTTATTATTATTAGGAGCTTTGTTTTTATCTTACAATAAAAACTTGGAATGTACTTAGTGAAAAGACTGTTAAGACAAAACCATAGTGAAGACAAACGTTAATCAATGTTTCAAAAATTTAAAAACTATTGACACGAACCAGTTTTGAGCTACTTTAGTAATGTTATCGCAGCATCCAAACCTTCAACAAAACACTCGTGACATCTGCAGAATTCAACACGCGTTTTTGAAGTTTCAAATATGTTAATAGTTATAATTAGCTTACACACCATATTATAGGATGTCAAGAAAACTTCGAAAACACGCCAATATGAAAACACGTTGATGAAAGAAAACTGATTATAAACTTAACTTTGAGCAATATTTAGATAAATGTACTACCCAAATGAAAGATGGCACATTTTAACATACAAAACAATACTTTAATAAGTCGACTTTGAATTCAAAGAGTGGAACGACTGTATTGAATAGTGAAGATTACGGACATTCTAAATGGTTTAAACGCAAGTTGAACATTTGTTTAATTTTTTTTTCTTTTCTTTTATATGTCATAACACTATGTTATTTTATTTTTCTACCTCTGAAGAAAATCGAGGAGTTGTACATTTTCCCGCCAGTGTGATAGTGAGGGTGTAAAGCGTTATTTCGTTTTGATGTAATTATATAGCGCGACTAGTCGGTAGATTAGAAACTTCTGCCAACTTGCTCACCCTCCAAAAATATCTGGACGCCTCATAGCTCTTCCAGCATGAATTTCAATGAAACACAGTGAGTACAAGTACGGAGGTACGCCAGGGAGGTACTTCTTAAAGTAGAAAAAATAAAAAAATACGAGGTTCTAAAAAAGTCACGAATTACGTGAATTTAAGAGATGAAACTAAATTATGCTGGAGGAAATGTGGAAAACTGATACAGAAAATAATGCAATACCTGCTCATGCGAAATTTAATGACCATAAAATTAGTAAAATAAAAGTATCAAGAACTTGATAATACAATATCTTTAAAAACTACTGAAGTACGTCAAAGTGCTGTTGGAGTATAAAAAATGTTCACTTGTTAGAGCCACTAGAGGGACAAAAAAATCATATTTCTGAAAATTCAAAATGACTTTATTACATCCGCATGCAAACATATAAATCATCTGTAAGGCCTTTACGGCCTACTCATCATGAATGTAGGTACTCTAACAGGTTTAGGACACGCATCATCTCCGAGAATACTGGGGGCCATTCAGTAATAATCTTGACGACTGTCGCTTCACCAAGCTCAGAAGTGATGGATGAATATGAGTCAGGAGGCAGGGAGATGAATAAATCGGTTGTGTTGTGTCGACTGTGAATGATCACGGTGGTTCTTTGATGTGGAGTATGTTTGTGCACTGGGCGTAAGTCCAGTATGTGAAATTTCTGCACAACTAAATGGCCAAAAAAAAAGCTCAATTAACACATTTCAATGACCACGGAGAAGGTTTTGGTCAGCAGGCCAATGTTTTGTTCAAATCGGATAATTTGTCCTGCCACAAACATGTAAATCCTAGACCCAGTTCCAAAGCATCAATTTCAGTATTCAGAAACAGCCCGCTGAAAAACCTAGATTTTGACCTTGAAAAGTATCTCGAGCAACCTTCCAGTCTATCTAAGATTTGGAAAATACAGGAGAATAATTACATTAAACATCAAACTGATACAAGTCAGAAGCATACACCACACAAAAATAAAATCATTCAGTACAAGTGTTGGGTTACACCATAAAAC